TCTTAAGATTATTTTAAGTACAAGATCATTGCATGGGATCTAACCATAGCGCGGGACGGGGCTAAAATTGTGCAAATCTGCGTTACCCACTTAGCAAAATGTGGATATTGGCTACGTAGTTCAATGTCCACGTTTTCAATGTCCACAGAGGGCGTATCGCATTCGCCAATCACGAAAAACGGGGCCGTGACATCTCTCAGGCTTCTCTCTGCTTTAAGTTTCAACCGCATTGCTTTTCTCGCATTCACTTAAAAGGAAGGGGTATCACAATCAGTTACAATCGTCACGAACAATGTTACGAGACAAACGCATAAAATTATTGTTACGTCAGGGTTTGCGCGAACGCCAAGTCCAGTTTTTAACAATCAACACAAATGAAGCAACCCAGAAAACATTTTGCGCGCAAACATCTGGCATTACGACGACGCACTTGGATAGAATTTTGCTTGCGCTGTTGAGCCATTTTTGTACGCGAGTCGATAGATATTTGCGCGCAAAATTATACGTTGATACACGAGCTAGCCACTTGCGTGCGAAAGCACAGACTGAACATATCTTACGGACAAAACTCGGGCAAATCGCATACAAATTTGCATGCGTAAGGCAAGCAAAATTTGCGCGCAAGAATTGTTATGTGGGAACAATTGAAACATTAGTTAGCCCTTTTCGAACGCAATCCTATGCGTACCCATCTTTCCTTTCGTTACTTTGCTACTCCACTTCCTGCCTAATTTGAACGAAATACAGGAAAATTGCGTAGTGACAATTTTATATGTATATTCAGAAGAGGAAATGCGTCTCTCTCTCTCTCTCTCTCTCTCTCTCTCTCTCTCTCTCTCTCTCTCTCTTTCTCTCTCTTTCCCTCTCTCACGTCAAAAAGCAGCTAAAATCAAACGGGCGCCTAATGTTTACGTGCTACTTTTATCGCGCTGATAAAGAAACGCGGAGCGCCGAGAGAAATCGCGAAGATAGGGAACAGCGGCGCTCTTTGGGTGTCGACGAGAACGGAAAGGAGCGAGAAAACGCAGTGCATGTCGCGCGTCCACGCTTAACCTCAAAGTCGCGCGTGACGGTGTCATTTTGGCGGCAAGGCCACGTGTGCGCGTTGCCGGGAAACGGACGACACCACAGACATCTATATTATATGTCTGTGGACGACACGCATTCGGCTGATTCGGCAGTGTTGAAAGGAGGATCGGGGAATTTTGTGCAGGGTAGTGTCAAGGTTCAAGGATGGCGGTGCACCGAAGAAGTGAGTCCATCAGGCCCGGTCTACAATGAGTCGCTAGACTATGTGTCGGTCCTTTTTCTTCCACCTAGAAAGGACAAGGATCGACGTATATTCCGACTTCTGATTAACGACTGACAACTCACTGTAGACCGGACGTCAGAATCGCGTAAATGACGGACGTCTCTCGCGTGCGTGTCGCATTTCGCGTTCTTGCGAAGCGCGAAGAGGATAAAATTAAATCGTACGGGAGAACGAGAGAAAGAGAGAGAGAGAGAGAGAGAGGAGGGGGGGAGGGGGGACGTGTTCCAAAATTAAAATGCGGCGCCGTCGTGAACGTTACGCGGAAGTTCATCGATAATGCATCGTACGATGTTGTTTTTTTCCTCACGCGATCTCGAGCGATCGAGAAAAATTCCATCCGCACCGATAATGACCGAACCAGCGGGTATCGGTACCGTCTGCGATAACGCGCGATAGCGCGAGAGACCTGCGGAATAGTTTCGGAGGATTTCTTTTGCGCAGTTCGTAGATTGAATTCTTTATCTCCGGATATCTTTATGAAGATCGAGACTCAAACATGTTCATTTTATTAGCGTGTGTATCTTCTCTTGTGATAATTATTCGACTAAAGATATTTTCTGCTTAGCATTTAAAATATATTTACAAAATTCGAAGTAATATGCGTTAAAAAAATTAGTTTTGAATTCCGTGATAAATGTATTGCCTTAATTTATGTGTATATAATTTTAAATAATTGTTATGTAATTTATTTATATATGTATCCGTTAAATTGCATACGATACGACTGCAATAAATACGAATTATTTAACACAAGAATCTTAATACAAGAACATTATTGTTTCATGAAACTATTTTTGTTGCTTTTCGATTATCGCTTTGAATATTTTCGGAGAGTTACTACTTTAATTGTATAATTATCTACGGCAGTTGATAGGTTTTGAAAGTCGTGATATCGGGAATGGGGAATTTTAACGCTTAGTGAAAGCAAAATGACGTAAGTTTCTTTCGTGCCGAAATCGAAATTGGAGAACCGCTTGGCCGCTCTAGATTTTGACGTAACTTTATTTACAAAGCGTTTCGTAGCCGTGGTGTAACTCATTCCAGGCGCTGCCTTGAAAAGTAGGTCCATGCCATTAACTCGATGCCGGTGGCACACGGTAAAGCCTGATCTACAATGTGATCTTTGCGTCCAGAAACATTCTGCTTTATATTAAGCAAATCAAAACGCGTAAAAAATTTCTCGACACTGTGTGATTCTACTACAATGTATAGGGTCTAATGTATTTATCAGCTTGCATAAATTTTTTAAACATACGATACATTATGCGCGCCACGCGCGCGTCATTTAGCGCTATCCTTATTTTTACATTTTAGAGTTTTCCATTCTCTTGATAAGCTGGTTAATAGTTAATTCATTTTTTTATTTAATAGCTAATATTATACGCTATAATTTTCTTTTATATTACCTTTTGCCCTCATCCATTCTTACAAAATTGGTAGATATCATTTCAGTGCATTCTGATTATTTGTTCAATATTCACGCCGGTAACATTTCCTTTTTAGAAAGGAATTGGCTACAAAATAGAATGTTTCTAGACGCAAGGAATCATATTGTAGATCAGGCTTGAAGAAACACATATCGCACAAATGCAACGTTTCCACATCCTTCGTCCGTACATGACTTACATTTTAGTTACGCAAGAACGTATATCGGTTAAAGTCGGCGTGTCAGAACGCAATAATTTTAAATATCTTATATCAAGTCTTTTAATATTTTAAATCAATTCTTTTAATTCTTTAAATCAAATCTTTTAAACGAGCGAAATGAATAAACATAAAATTTCAAACGTAATAAATAAACATACATTTTCTCGCCGATTATCTCACGAAGCGATTGTTACATATTTCTATGTTATACTTATTCTATTTTATCTTATACAGGAAATTCGTGTATTTCCGTGTTATGAAATAATGTATACATATGAAATGCATACAACTACATTGTCATACAGCGATAGACGAGGAATGACCGAAATTGTATTGCGGATGAAAGGAAACAGGGCATGTTTAACTAAATTTAAAGTCATTCTGTACTCCTACTATATCACAATAGGTATATCTTATGCGCATTTCAAGTGAGTTAGCAGGTATTTAAATTTCAAAATTCTGTCTCTTACGTCTTACGCTGTTCCGATATCGTGTTTCCAACCGTTTTAACAAAACCCATTACTGTAATCTAAAGAATGTGACGCTATATCTTCCCACTGATTTTAACTGAACTCTTTTGTGATCACTGGGACGTATAAATCATATTTATATTTCTTGCCTTTCGGCTTCTTTGGAATGCTAATGCCCACTAAAAACTAAATAAATAAATAATGAACAAAAAGTATAATATAATTCGGTCATGAAAGGATTAATCTTCAGAGAACATTTATATCGAAAAATAGTTGTAATAAGAGCCAATTTAATTTGAATAATTGTATACGTAGGCAGAAACGTGCCTTTTTAATGGTTGACAAATCTCTTGCATGTCGTCGCTGTTAACTAAATGATTCGTTGCCACAACGCAAAGATGATGTAATTTTGATTGATAAATTATTCATCGGGACAAAATTTTTTCACTTTAGCCGGTATAAATCAGTGTATCTGTTCCCAACGAATCGATCATATTGGACAACGAAATCGCGTTAAGTTGTTAACTTACGAGGAAGATGAAGTAAATATAAGAAATTAAGTAAAGATAAAAATTAATCGATTTTGAAAAAGATCGCGCACGAAATTAAACAATCGAACATCATAAAAGTGGGTTATAGATATCATAAAAGTGTATCGATCGTGAAGATCTGATTATGGATTAGGCTGTCATTAAGGCCATACGATAACGAAGACGATCAGTTGGGAGCTTGTCCTTGAAAATAGAAGCGCGAGAAGGCACCGCAATGATGCCCACTCAAGAGCCGCGCACTCATTGGCACTCCCTACTGATGGCAGTTCATTGCTTTGCCAGTCATCGTTATCATGAGATACATGTATAGCGTGTACACATCACGAGTATCTCCGCACGCATGATTTGCATGGCGTCCACAATTTTTACACGTGCGTTATAAAAATTGAGCAACGTTTCCCTTTAACCGTACAATCTGATAGTAAAAGTTGTTGCTGCTATTTTAACAATTCGTGAACATCCTCCTGCTTCCCGTAATTTTTCCGTGAGAAACATTACATCTTATTTAAGAATTTAAGAAAACTATAACTTAGTTCTTTTAAACGACGATGGATACAGTACACGGAAAGAATTTCCTTTTAAAATTTACCCTGAAATTCGGGCAATCGTGGGACAACATGGCATTTTGAAGAACTTTATATTTTACTTTACAAGTAAAATGTATGGTAAAATTTTAAAAAACTCTCATAAAATTCTTCGAAATGCCGTGTTGTTCGCCGATTACATCATTTTCAGGATAAGTTTAAGAAAAAATTCTTTTCACGCAGATGTATGTATTTTTAAAATACTTTTTGCATTATTCTATCACTTCTATTTTTGCATCATTATGCACATCTCTGACTGTTGTATTTTTATATAAATTATAATATGTATAATACTGACTATAATGATATACAATGTGACGTAGTTGTCGGTCCAGCATTCCTGGAATAATGTCGGATTAGTGTTTTGTTGATTTCCACTCTGGGGAAAAAAACCGTTAGCAACCCATTTTGGGACCCACAATTAGTAATCGAATTATTTGGACTGTTTGTAACTCTACTCTGGGAAAAATTTTAACCGTTTTTTTTTGTAGTTAAGCAACTCAACATTTCGGTTAGTGCCTCTTAAGTGAAAATTATCTTTGCGTTACTGAATATCGACAGAACTAATTGAGAGAATTGATTAGTATTACTTTAAATTCTTGGATATAGATAGAATAGCTAATTGCGATTTTTAGTTACGCGGGGTAAATTCGTAAAAGATTAGAATTACGGACAGTCCAAATAATTCGATCACTAATTGTGATCCCCAAAATGGGTTGCTAGCTGTCTTATTTTTCCCAGAGCATGCGTCGGTGTTTTCAATAGTCTAGGAATAATATTTGCACAATTTGCAAGCGGATTAGCTAAAATTAGTAGCGTTACATTACATACATTAATACACGAGGATGAGATTGACAATGAGTCATCATTATGCAATGCGTCGTATATTCTCCAGGTTATATTGTACATTGCATATCGGATTCGTAGATAAGAGAGTTATCGTTTCATCACGTTGAACAGTGTTCCGCGATTATCAGAATATGATAAAAATCTAAATCTAATTTGCATCTGCATTTGGAATGTTCTGATGTGCACAGAAAAACTAAAATAGAAGTAGAAAAAGGCATCGTTTGCAACAGGCAAATTTTACGTAAAAATACATTGCGTGTGCGGCCATTTAAATATCGATAATGGTATTTAGAGAGAAAAAAATCCCGACTGTTTCAATAATCTAGCTTCAGCCGTACTTTTACATTCAAAACCATTACGTTTGTTATGTTGCTTAATTAATTACTCATTTTAATTGCTAGTTACTTAGCTTCGAGCATTATTTAAGGTTCTTTCACATGATATTCCACCTACACTATGTTGATTTAAATGCACTTGGGATAATGAAGGCAGTGAATTTTTTATTCGTGGAAAACGATCAAAGGATTGGTTTATCTATATTCGAGGGCACTCCACGATTGCCTCGTAAGCGTTTACGTTCGCCTGATTGCACGTGGTATGCGCATGCAAGGCAAAACCGACGCTCAGTCGAGGTTCCGCTGGTGAAGCGGCGAGATTGTCGAAGGAGATCGGCAAGACCCCTGGCACCGATAGCCAGTCCATCACGTGACTTTTTTTGGTGTCTTTCCCGTGCGACTTGTTCGTAAACCATGAAAGCCATGAGTACCTCATCGAGTAAGTTTAAACACAAAACTACGTTTGCACGTCAGATTTCTGTTTCGAAAACTTGCGACTTTAAA